ACAAAAAACGTAGAACATGAAAATGTCTAATACAAATTGACATTACTTAACCACCATTGGCGGACAAAAAAAAGTTAGAGGGACTTAAAATTAATAAACCCCTTACAACTAACGCCGTCTATAGAGTAGATGATTTTAGGCTCAAATTATGATTTGTCATCTCAAAAAACCCCGGTGAACCAATTTTAAGCCATCAAAATATAATAAAAAAATCGTATTTTTCTTTTAATTGTTTGTCACCCTATATATATTGAACATCATGCCTGTAGCGCATCAGTTGCACTACATACGTTAAAATGTCACACACTTAACACTTTTTAGCTAACCCTTCAATTTGTGGCAGTCATAGCATGACAAAGGATAAACTCATCTCCTAGGCAACTTTGGTTGCTAAGAATTGTTGATCATCATGATTATGACTTTTATATTTTTATATGCAAGACATGTCTTTTTATTTTTCGAATTAAATAGATCTTATATAAATAATAATAATAATATGTTTTTAACACTGACCTAAGGAATCTATGGTTAGCCTACTTTTTTTGGGAAACCCTGTAGATATATCAGTTGTTTCAATTGTACCCCAACTTACAACATTAACTTATTTGGTCAATATTAAAAAACGTTTTCCAGGTAATCATATTTTGACTCAAAAATAATGTCATTGCTCTCGGTCCAATTATTAACAGACAATATGAAAATATCAATTAATAACGTCCCCAAGTTCGTTTCAATCGTTGTTGATAACATTTCTACATACTTTGGAAATTCAACAAGTATTAGAAATTAAAAATAAAAAATAGTTATTAAAATTATATTAATTTTAAGAGAGGTGCACGGAATCCAATTTTGGGTATAGGCGGAACATCTGGGAGGTACTTTAAACAGTTGTTTTTCTATTTTATAGAATATATGTTATTTACGCTTTGAGAAGAAAATTCTTCAAATAAAAATTGCTTGTTATATTATTCTCTTTAATTTTGATCCTATACATAATTTTCCTAAAATGGTCCGTATTCGAGAAATTTGGGAAAAAGTGCAAATTTATAATTTTGATAACTCAAAAACGGTTAGAAAGAAAAACACCAAATTTTAAAGTTAAGCTTTATTCCGGCCTATAGTGAACTGATTAGATTTTGAGCAGAGTCGGAACATCTGGAGGGGTACTTTATAGAGGGTCATTTTTATATTTTATGAAATATATCTATTATTTAGATTTTGAGAAGAAATTTTTTCAAATAAAAGTTACTTCTAATATTATTCTTTATAATGTTTGTTCTATACAAAATTTTCCTAAAATGGTCCGTATTCGAGAAATTTCATAAAATGTAAAAAAATTAAATTTAAAAAAAAAATTGTTCAAATAAAAGTTGTTTGTGATATTATTCTCTATATTTTTCTTCCTATATATAATTTCTCTAAAATGGACCGTATTCGAGATATTTGGGAAAAAGTGCAAATTTCTAATTTTGAAGATAACTCAAAAACAAATATAAATAAACACATCAAATTTTAAACTTAAGCTTTATTCCTGCCTATAGTGAACTGATTAAATTTTGAGCAGAGTTGTAACATCTGGGGGGTACTTTATAGTAGATCATTTTTATATTTTATGGAATATAACTGTTATTTAGGTTTGGAGAAGAAATTCCTTCAAATAAAAGTTACTTTTAATATTATTCTCTATAATATTTGCCTTATACAAAATTTTCTTAAAATGGTCCGTATTCGAGAAATTTCACAAAATGTAAAAAAAATAAATTTTTAAGAAAATTGTTCAAATAAAAATTGATTGAGATATTATTTTCTATAATTATTTTCTTCATATACATAATTTCTCTAAAATGAACCGTATTCGAGATATTTGGGAAAAAGTGTAAATTTCGAATCTAGAAGAAAACTCAAAAACGGATAAAAAGAAAAACACCAAATTTTAAACTTAGGCTTTATTGCAGCCTATGGTGAACTGATTAGATTTTGAGCAGAGCCGGAACATTTGGGGGGTACTTTATGGTAGGTCATTTTTATATTTTATGGAATATAACTGTTATTTAGGTTTGGAGAAGAAATTTCTTCAAATAAAAGTTACTTCTAATATTATTCTCTATAATGTTAGTCTCATACAAAATTTTCCTAAAATGGTCCGTAAATTTAAAAAAACCGACTTCAAAAACGTGAAAATTTATATGGAACCACCCCTGAGGTACTAACAAAAAATAATCATAAAAATCGGACAAGGTGGTAAAGGATTATCGCTAAACATACAAAAAAATGAAGAGTGAGGATTTTCTCATGGACCTAATTATTAGATTTTGACCAAATTTATATGGGACTACCCCTGAAGTACCCCCTTTCTAACAAAAAAAGAATCATTGAAATTGGACACCGTGTTAAAAAATTATCGCTGAACATACATAAAAAAAAAATATTGCGATGAATTGAGAACCTCCTCCTTTTTTGAAGTCGTTTAAAAACGTCAATTAATTCCCAAGTTCGTTTCAATCGTTTTCTATATACTTTTTAACAGCCGAAAAATTCTAAATTCAAAATATTCCAGTAAGTTTTTCATGTTTAATAATAATGATAATACTCTCCCTAATTCACCCCCTTACCATTGAATTTTAACCCCAAAAGTTGAGCTTGTGCAGGGAAAGGGACGGCTATTATTATTATTATTTGTCGTGGCGCTCCGGGGCGACTTAAAGATTGTGTCTAGAAACTTGAAATACATACGTTTTTCTCTACTTTTCAATTTTCTCCTAACTTTCGAAATTAAAACTAATATATTAAAAATGTATAATGTACATGTTCCTTAATAATGTTCCCCAGATCGGTTCAATCGTAGTTGATATTTCTACATACTTTCTAACAGCCGAAAAATTAATTCTAAATTAATTTTTCTACTTTTAAATTTACTCCTAACTTTCTCATTCATATATACATATTATAAGTTCTCCGTACTTTCTAATTTTAAATTATCCTTCACTACACTTCTTGAAGTTTCATTATCGAATGAATAACCAAAATTATTAAATACTTCTAAAAAATATAAACATACTGACAATATTTTTTCTACTTTTCAATTTTCTCCTAACTTTCATATTCATATATACATATTACAAGTTCTCCGTACTTTCTAACTTTAAATTATCCCTCACTACACTTCTTGAAGTTTCATTATCGAATGCATAACCAAAATTATGAAGTATTTCTAAGAAATATAAACATACTGACAATATTTTTTCTACTTTTCAATTTTCTCCTAACTTTCATATATACATATTACAAGTTCTCCATACTTTCTAACTTTAAATTATCCCTCACTACACTTCTTGAAGTTTCATTATCGAATGCATAACCAAAATTATGAAGTATTTCTAAGAAATATAAACATATTGACAATATTTTTTCTACTTTTCAATTTTCTCCTAACTTTCATATTCATGTATACATATTACAAGTTCTCCGTACTTTCTAATTTTAAATTATCCTTCACTACACTTCTTGAAGTTTCATTATCGAATGAATAACCAAAATTATTAAATACTTCTAAAAAATATAAACATACTGACAATATTTTTTCTACTTTTCAATTTTCTCCTAACTTTCACATTCATATTACAAGTTCTGCGTACTTTCTAATTTTAAATTATCCTTCACTACACTTCTTGAAGTTTCATTATCGAAAGAATAACCAAAATTATGAAGTATTTCTAAGAAACATAAACATATTGACAATATTTTTTCTACTTTTCAATTTTCTCCTAACTTTCACATTCATATATACATATTACAAGTTCTCCATACTTTCTAATTTTAAATTATCCTTCACTACACTTCTTGAAGTTTCATTATCGAATGAATAACCAAAATTATTAAATACTTCTAAAAAATATGAACATACTGACAATATTTTTTCTACTTTTCAATTTTCTCCTAACTTTCACATTCATATATACATATTACAAGTTCTCCGTACTTTCTAACTTTAAATTATCCCTCACTACACTTCTTGAAGTTTCATTATCGAATGAATAACCAAAATTATGAAGTATTTCTAAGAAACATAAACATATTGACAATATTTTTTCTACTTTTCAATTTTCTCCTAACTTTCATATTCATGTATACATATTACAAGTTCTCCGTACTTTCTAATTTTAAATTATCCTTCACTACACTTCTTGAAGTTTCATTATCGAATGAATAACCAAAATTATTAAATACTTCTAAAAAATATAAACATACTGACAATATTTTTTCTACTTTTCAATTTTCTCCTAACTTTCACATTCATATTACAAGTTCTGCGTACTTTCTAATTTTAAATTATCCTTCACTACACTTCTTGAAGTTTCATTATCGAAAGAATAACCAAAATTATGAAGTATTTCTAAGAAACATAAACATATTGACAATATTTTTTCTACTTTTCAATTTTCTCCTAACTTTCACATTCATATATACATATTACAAGTTCTCCATACTTTCTAATTTTAAATTATCCTTCACTACACTTCTTGAAGTTTCATTATCGAATGAATAACCAAAATTATTAAATACTTCTAAAAAATATGAACATACTGACAATATTTTTTCTACTTTTCAATTTTCTCCTAACTTTCACATTCATATATACATATTACAAGTTCTCCGTACTTTCTAACTTTAAATTATCCCTCACTACACTTCTTGAAGTTTCATTATCGAATGAATAACCAAAATTATGAAGTATTTCTAAGAAACATAAACATATTGACAATATTTTTTCTACTTTTCAATTTTCTCCTAACTTTCATATTCATGTATACATATTACAAGTTCTCCGTACTTTCTAATTTTAAATTATCCTTCACTACACTTCTTGAAGTTTCATTATCGAATGAATAACCAAAATTATTAAATACTTCTAAAAAATATAAACATACTGACAATATTTTTTCTACTTTTCAATTTTCTCCTAACTTTCACATTCATATATACATATTACAAGTTCTCCGTACTTTCTAATTTTAAATTATCCTTCACTACACTTCTTGAAGTTTTAATATTTAATGAACAAAATAACCAAAATTATGAAGTACTTTTAAGAAACAAACATTGACAATATAGAAAAACAGTAAACATAAACCTCTTAAATGACTAGAAAGGATTTGGGCATAGGTTATAATTTTATTATCTTAATATGAGAAATTTTTATTTATCAACATTTTAATACTGCTATTTATCATTATAGCATAGAAGTATTTACTGTGCTCTTAGAAATACACAGTATCGAGTGTATCGACTATTAAAATACTGTATAATAGTTATGGTGCAGTATAATCAATTATATTTGATTACTTTTTAATACTTCATGCTATTTATAAATTATTAATAATATCTAGTACCTAAATGATCATCTGATTGTCTGAAACCATATTTTTTTTACTTCTCTTATTTATAAACGCTCATTTTTGATTTATTATTACCATTATGATAATAAAATTAATAACCTGAATGCCCGAAAATATATATAATCGAAATTTTAATTAGGTACCACTTATTGTACTGAATTTCAATTACCTACACTAAACTAGTTTAATTAATTTGTTGACTAGATACACATTGCGGAGGTAACACAATTTCTGCCATTGGCGTTCCTAAAACTTGTTCGCAAACAGTATTAGGATCCATCATCAAGGAACTGATTTGGTCTTCATTTAACATGTCGACACTGAAACAAAATTTCATTAAGACAAAAGGAAAAAAAAAAGAATTATAATATCGATTATAAAATCAAATAAATTATTTAGTCATAATCTTAGATAAAAGAGACCAGAGATATAACATACACCGGTTTTAAACCTGCGCAAATGTTGCTAATTTCTAAAGAAGGGTTAACGGAGTGGGGGAACTGGGCGGCGACACGCGGCGACCCGATCTCTGTGACAGGGACCGGACTTTGTTTATTAGTATCTTAATGAACTATTAGGTTTATTTAAAAGGTGTTTAATCGAATTTTGTATTATGAAATAAAATTAACGTGATTTTTTAATATCAAACAGATGCCACGACATTTTATGTAAAGAGAAGACCTTTTATAGAATATTTCGTTAGCGTTTATTTACTACGGACTTTTCTGCAAGAGATTACAGTAAAATGTTGAAATAGAATATATTGTTAATAGAGCAAAAAATGTTACTCATTGTCTACGAGTATTATAAAAATAGCATGTGCGCAGGCTAATACTGCAAATCTACCCTTATGAATTGAACATTATATTTTTTCTACGGCTATTACATATTATTAAAAATTAGTCAAAATGAGAAAATGCTATTTTGTATTGTAACCTCAGAAAAAAGTATATTAAGGCTTTTTTCTTTAAGAATATTAATTATTATGAAGGATGAGTCACATAAAACTCTAGAAATGCATATGTCTGCAACCAGATAACATTTTAAAATTTAAATCTATTAAAAGTCATTTGGTCGCTAGGGATGAGTGATTATCGAAATAAATTATCGATCATTGAAAATAATCGATTATTTTCGATCAATCGATTATTTTCAAACAATATATTTTTTGTCATTTCCTTTAAAATCGACTACTTGATTATCTTTGAAAAATCAAAAATAATCGATTAATTAAAAAGCCAATTAACCGATAAATCAGTGTTTACAAAATATAATATAAATAGAATTATCGTTTATTTTAAATAATCGATTATTTTCAAATAAACCATTTTTTTTCGTCCATGGAAACAGATTATTCGATAATCTTTGAAAAATCGAAAATAATCGATTAATTAAAAAGTCGATTAACTGATAAATCGATTTAAAAAAAAAACAGAATGATCGATTATTTTAAATAATTGATTATTTTCGATCAATCGATTATTATCAATAATCTATTTTTATTGTATTTCTTTTAAAATCGTCAATTCGATTATCTTTGAAATACCGAATCGATAATTCCAAAGTAATCGCCTAATTGAAAATAATCAATTAATTAAGAAGCTGATTCTATGATAAATCGATTATTACCAATAATCTATTTTATTGTATTTCAAAAATAATCGATTAATTAAAAAGTCGATTAACTGTCAAATCGATTTTCAAAAAAAACAGAATGATCGATTATTTTAAATAATTGATTATTTTCGATCAATCGATTATTATCAATAATCTATTTTTATTGTATTTCCTTTAAAATCGTCAATTCGATTATCTTTGAAATACCAAAAATAATCAATAATTCCAAAATAATCGCCTAATCGAAACTGACCAATTAATTAAGAAGCCGATTCTATGATAAATCGATTTTCCAAAAAATAAAACGAATTATCTATTATTTTCTAATAATCCTTTTTTCATATTTCCTTTGAAATTGATTATTCGATTATCGAAAATAATTGATTATTAAAAAGCTGATTATCCAATAAATCGATAATTTTAAAAAAATAACAAAAATATCGAATTATGTAAAATAACCGTTTTTATTCAATCGATTATTTTCATATAATATCTTTGAAAAATCGAAAATAATCAAATAATTAAAAAACCGATTAAACGATAAATCGATTATTTTGAATAAATCTACTTTTTTTGTATTTCCTTTAAAATCGATTAATACATTATCTTAAAAAAAAACGAAAATAATTTATTAAAAACAGCGGATAAATCGATTTTCATTAAAAAATATCAGAATTATCGATAAATCGATTATTTTTGTAACCCCTATCGGTCGCTTGCTTTTATCTGAGCATTTAGCTCCAAAATTTAGAGATTCGGATTTTTTGATCCAGTTATCTTTGAAATCGCATTCGATTGTATAATAAATAAATATTGCTAAATTTTGGATTTTTTTTAGTAAACGAAAATTATGTTCGAGTTGTTTAGAGGTTTGTAATGTAACATTTTATTAACGTGACTAAGGGTCGATTCCACCGTTGTGTTAAACGAAATTTAAAATGACATTTTTACATTAACACTGTCATTTTAATCTCCGTTTAACAAAACGGTGGAATCGGACCTAACTCCTGTAACTTTAGTATTTTTTTTTTGCTTATACTAGATTACTTTGTTTTAAGACTGAAAATTCAATGTCACTTTCGATTTGACCGCAAATAAGATGAACCTTGAAATTTTAAGTAGGTCATCCTGTATTTCATCTAATATTCTTATAAAAATACCTTATAAAAATAAAATTTAGCTAGCAACTATGATTCTTTACCTCTTATTAATCTACCAAAAAGGGCTAAAAACTACCTTTAGAAAACATTCTTATAGAACTACTTTTTAAATACAAAATTTCGTTAGCAATAATGCCTATTTACTATTTATTTAAATTAAATGTTCAAAATTTTACCCTTTTGTAAATTTATGTAAGTAATATGAAATCTGATTTCTGATGCTTAATATTTATTGAAACCCCTTAATGCGGATCTGAAGTATTCAGCCCAGAGAATCATGGCGTTTTATGTCAAAACGTTAATAAATATTTACCGCTGAAAACGAATATATTCATAACAGTAGTACTTGTATTATAAGTACATACAATTTTTCAAGATACATCGTGACATTTTGAACTTGAAATTGAATAACTAGAACACTTTAAATTGCTAAAATACCAACAAATAAATCAAAAAACAGCTGTCAATGGTGATTAAACTCAGGTGGAGGTGATCGCTGAATGGAAATCGGAGCAATTCGGGTGGCGTCGTGCAACAATGATTTTCAATTGGTGGGTTACTTTGGCTTAAAATAGACAACATGCGCAGTGTGCAATGTTACATCTTCGGTCTCTTTAATCTAAGGTCATAATGGAATTTTAAATTATTAGAATTTTTATGGCATTTTTGGAGTTTTACTGTATTTTTTTTCATTGCTACACCTTCCAAAAGCTTTTCAATCAAACATTGTCATTCATTATTTACCTCGAAACGCTCTCTGTGTCAGAATTGTCATCTTCGACGGTTAGATATGTAAGAGTTTTTTCTAAAGGACTAGGAAGTTTCTTAGCGCTGCCGTTTCTAATTTTATCCTCGATCAGCCCCAATTTCGGTTCGCTGTTTCGTCTTTCTGTAAGCGAACTGATATTTAACATCATTATACCTTGCGAAAATATTTCTTTCACTTTTTCTCCAGTCGGACCTAGAAGATTATCCAAACTTTGTCGTCTACCTGAAAAATTACGTAGAACTTACATAGGAGAAAAAAATTAAGTGAAGATTAATGAAAGCCAAGCACTTCTTCAAAAAAACATATTTAAAGAAATAGAAGAGCAAACGCAAAAAAGGGAGTCAAATATATTAATAATGCTCCAAAATTAATGCAGGTACTGACTCTAATACTGAATATTATCAGTTAGTTAATATTGAAAGAGTAAAACCAAATTTGGTAGATTTTCACACTTTTATTTTAAAAATAATTTTTTTTTTTTTTTTAAAACACTAACATGACATATGTTTCGAAGTACAACTTCTTTTTCAAATGTGACTATTTACAATTCGGTATCCAATATATATACGAAATAATTTAACAAAACAAAGTACTTAAGAAAACATCAATAACATTACAAAATAAACTAACTATTTAAAGTAAATAAGGGTACTTAGGTAATTATAATATCCATCAGATAACAATAAGATAGCCCATTACCGGGATTATCTCACAGAAAACTGGGAAAGAGATTTAATAAGGGTGAATTATTAATATCTAATTGATCATTTAGTAAGTTATCTGAATTTTTAAATCTATTTATTTCAAGTGTTTCTAAATGGTTTAATTTAAGGCTCTTATTTTCTACATGTAAAATTTCAAAGTTGTCTGTAAAAGAATGATTTTCAGCTAAAATATGATTTGAGTAAGTAGAATTATTTTTGTTTTTTGTATAGCTATTATAATGTTCGGAATAGCGTTTTTTGAAAGTACGGCCTGTTTGACCAATATACAATTTTGGACAACTACCACAATTTAATTTATATACCCCCGATTTATTATTAGGATTAATTTTACCCTTATTGTTTTTAATATACTTCCCAAGCGTATTATTGGTTTTAAAAGCTACGTTAATATTTTGGTTTTTTAAATATGATGATACCTTTTCACTAGGAGCTCCTATATATGTAAGACTCTTATATCTGCAATTTGGATCTTTAATTATGGGATAAACTTGTTGAATAGCCTGTTTAAAAAGTTTTTTCTCTAAAATGTTGTCTACTAACTTTGAATTAAAATTATTATTTACTGCGATTTGTTTAATGATATTTAATTCTTTTGTGAAGTTCTCTTTTAAAACCAATAATACGCTTGAGAAGTATATTAAAAACAATAAGGGTAAAATTAATCCTAATAATAAATCGGGGGTATATAAATTAAATTGTGGTAGTTGTCCAAAATTGTATATTGGTCAAACAGGCCGTACTTTCAAAAAACGCTATTCCGAACATTATAATAGCTATACAAAAAACAAAAATAATTCTACTTACTCAAATCATATTTTAGCTGAAAATCATTCTTTTACAGACAACTTTGAAATTTTACATGTAGAAAATAAGAGCCTTAAATTAAACCATTTAGAAACACTTGAAATAAATAGATTTAAAAATTCAGATAACTTACTAAATGATCAATTAGATATTAATAATTCACCCTTATTAAATCTCTTTCCCAATTTTCTGTGAGATAATCCCGGTAATGGGCTATCTTATTGTTATCTGATGGATATTATAATTACCTAAGTACCCTTATTTACTTTAAATAGTTAGTTTATTTTGTAATGTTATTGATGTTTTCTTAAGTACTTTGTTTTGTTAAATTATTTCGTATATATATTGGATACCGAATTGTAAATAGTCACATTTGAAAAAGAAGTTGTACTTCGAAACATGTCATGTTAGTGTTTTTTAAAAAAAAAAAAAAATTATTTTTAAAATAAAAGTGTGAAAATCTACCAAATTTGGTTTTACTCTTTCAAAATTAAATGGATTTTCATCAAGTAAAGGCCGAAACAATAAATAAGTTAGTTAATAATAAATAAATTCAAAACGTAGGAGGAAAAAGTTTGTAGTTGAAGAAAACTTTACTTATGTTTTTTCGAAAAATACAAGCGACATAGTACAGTCAATATAGGTATAACAAGGCAAATGTAATGACAGAGTGTGGAATTGCTACAGGTATTGCCAATAATTTTGAATTTTAATATAAAAATCGAATTTTAAAATAATTGTCTTCATTTTTATTCCCCAATTATTGTTAGGTATAAAACCAAAATGATTTTGTACTTGCTACAAGAATTAATAATATTATAGAAAGCTATGATAGGATTATTTGTTAACAATCCTTTGGTTAAAAGTAAATGGCTTCATTTTTGTTTGTTAAAATTCTTGGAGTGAAACGGCATGGGGCGAAACTGCGAGGGCAAAACTGAGGGCTAAACACCAGGGGTGAAACATAATACAACCACTTATATTTGTTATTTATGCTTGGAGAAGAAAATTTTTTAAATAAAAGTTGTTTGTTATATTATTCTCTATAATTTTTACCATATATATAATTTTCCTAAAATGGTCCGTATTCGAGAAATTTGACAAAAAGTGCAAAATTCGAATTTAAAAAAATTATTTTTTTAGCTAATAAATATTATTTTTAATGTTGGAAGTTATTACAATATTATTTGTAACAACATATTAATGCAGCGTTAAAGTAATATTGAGCATTTCTAGCATTTTAAAACATTTAAGCATTTTCGAAAAGATTCACGAAAAGTAAGTTTTTGAATAGTTGCCGTTTTTTTTTTTTTCGTTTATGCTCGAGAAAAGTTCTTCAAAAGTACGTGCTCAAGAATTTTACATCACTAGATAACATTGTATTAAGGGCACCAAATAATAAATGAATATATCAGATTAAATCCAACCTTTTTGAACTAATCATTACAAAACACACCATCTTTATTTATGTCAGAGTAATCAGACGAATGTGGTTTGTTTGAATTACATTCAAACATTCACGCAAAAATTAAACATAATTAGGAAATCAATTCACTCACGCAAAGATTAAAATAATTAAAGAAATTGATTAATCCACATATCAAGAAACACCCACCTTTAATAATCATAATTGAATAACATCTTTAGACTTTGGTTAACGACCAGCTGCCTTTTCCCAGTTAGAACAACAGTTCTAGCACAACCAATAGTATTAAATTTATAAGCAAACAACCAATGAAAAACGAAAGCCTTGACATAAATAGATTTATAAAAAAGCTAGTCACTGTATAACATACCGTCAAATGTCTCATGTTTGATCATCCGTTACGTAATGCAACATAAAAAGTTTGTAAGTAATATGTAAAAGTTATAAGTGTATCACATGTCAATAAAAACCAACATTGAAGAAAGATTTGTACATTTTATTTCATAGTAGCCTAGAGAGACGAATCGAAAGTAAGATCTTTCTCGTATTAAAAATATTAAAAATAAATAAAGAAATAAATCAAAGAAATACATTAAAGAAACAAATTAAAGAAATAAAAGAAATGAAAGGAATGAAATGAAAGAAATAAAAGAGATAAAGAAATAAAGCAGTACAGAAGTAAATAAATAACAAAGAAACGAAATAATAAAGAAATAAATAATAAAGAAATAATAAAGAAATAATAAAGAAATAATAAAGAAATAATTAATAAAGAAAGAAATGAAAGATATGAAAGAAATGAAAGAAATGAAAGAAATGAAAGAAATGAAAGAAATGAAAGAAATGAAAGAAATGAAAGAAATGAAAGAAATGAAAGAAATGAAAGAAATGAAAGAAATGAAAGAAATGAAAGAAATGAAAGAAATGAAAGAAATGAAAGAAATGAAAGAAATGAAAGAAATGAAAGAAATGAAAGAAATGAAAGAAATGAAAGAAATGAAAGAAATGAAAGAAATGAAAGAAATGAAAGAAATGAAAGAAATGAAAGAAATGAAAGAAATGAAAGAAATGAAAGAAATGAAAGAAATGAAAGAAATGAAAGAAATGAAAGAAATGAAAGAAATGAAAGAAATGAAAGAAATGAAAGAAATGAAAGAAATGAAAGAAATGAAAGAAATGAAAGAAATGAAAGAAATGAAAGAAATGAAAGAAATGAAAGAAATGAAAGAAATGAAAGAAATGAAAGAAATTAAAGAAATGAAAGAAATGAAAGAAATGAAAGAAATGAAAGAAATGAAAGAAATGAAAGAAATGAAAGAAATGAAAGAAATGAAAGAAATGAAAGAAATGAAAGAAATGAAAGAAATGAAAGAAATGAAAGAAATGAAAGAAATGAAAGAAATGAAAGAAATGAAAGAAATGAAAGAAATGAAAGAAATGAAAGAAATGAAAGAAATGAAAGAAATGAAAGAAATGAAAGAAATGAAAGAAATGAAAGAAATGAAAGAAATGAAAGAAATGAAAGAAATGAAAGAAATGAAAGAAATGAAAGAAATGAAAGAAATGAAAGAAATGAAAGAAATGAAAGAAATGAAAGAAATGAAAGAAATGAAAGAAATGAAAGAAATGAAAGAAATGAAAGAAATGAAAGAAATGAAAGAAATGAAAGAAATGAAAGAAATGAAAGAAATGAAAGAAATGAAAGAAATGAAAGAAATGAAAGAAATGAAAGAAATGAAAGAAATGAAAGAAATGAAAGAAATGAAAGAAATGAAAGAAATGAAAGAAATGAAAGAAATGAAAGAAATGAAAGAAATAATGAAAGAAATGAAATGAAAGAAATAAATAAAGCAGTAAAGAAGTAAAGAAATAATAAAGAAACAATAAAGAAATAATAAATAAATAAAAAAAAGAAATGAAATAAAGAAATAAAAAAATTAATAAATTAAATAAATAAATATTTCTTTTTAAATGTAACACTCTAGAATTTTAAAAATCACTCATAATATACTCACTACTGCTTATTGCAATGTCTTCATTTTTTATAGCAGATCTACTGATCCAATTCGTAATGGTATTATCCAACTTCATCTTATTCTTAAGAGCCGAAAAATCATTTTCCAATTTAGGATTCGGTAAAGTCTTCTGTCTGGTCAACAGAGGTTTCCCGAAATCGATATCATTTTTTTTTATTGGGCGAATTATCCTCTGGACTCGAACTGTCCAAGTTTATTTCAGTCCATTCGCTAGAATGACTTTGCGCTATACTGGGTTGGTAATTTTTTTCACTACAACACAAATACGCCTATTAATTTATAATTAATTAAAATAATTAATTACAAACCTGGTGGAAAGGGGGGATGTCGGAGATGAATTAAAAACAGGATTACGAAAACCATCAACTTCATCATATTTGGAAGTAATCGGACTAGATGCATCGCCCAATTTTTGTGGAAGACTTTTAAACTCATCAATGAGTTCCTGAGCATCGTCTAAGAACGAAACATTAGAATCGAGGCTTCGCTGTTTTCCATTAGCAAATTTCGCGGCTAGAAGAGAAACTTTCTTCCTATTTTGATGTATTTCATCAGAAATTTGTTCGAGGTTTTTCAAAGCGTCTGCGTACGACAGCTTTGCTGTCGATACTTGAGACTCGAGGCTATGAACTTTTGCTTTTTGTAGCTCAAGAAGTTGGTTGAAATGAGCTTTCATTTCGTAGTAGGGTCTAAAAAATGGTTATTAAAATTATATTAATTTTAAGAGAGGTGCACGGAATCCAATTTTAGACATAGACGGAACATATGGGAGGTACTTTAGACAGTTGTTTTTTTATTTTATAGAATATGTTATTTACGCTTACAGAAGAAAATTCTTCAAATAAAGATTGCTTGTTATATTATTCTCTTTAATTTTGATCATATACATAATTTTCCTAAAATGGTCCGTATTCGAGAAATTTGGGAAAAAGTGCAAATTTATAATTCTGATGATAACTCAAAAACGGTTAGAAAGAAAAACACCAAATTTTAAACTTAAGCTTTATTCCGGCCTATAGTGAACTGATTAGATTTTGAGCAGAGTCGGAACATCTGGAGGGGTACTTTATAGGGGGTCATTTTTATATTTTATGAAATATATCTGTTATTTAGATTTGGAGAAGAAATTTTTTCAAATAAAAGTTACTTCTAATATTATTCTCTATAATGTTTGTTCTATACAAAATTTTCCTAAAATGGTCCGTATTCGAGAAATTTCACAAAATGTAAAAAATTCAAATTTTTAAAAAAATTGTTCAAACAAAAGTTATTTGTGATATTATTCTCTATATTTTTCTTCTTATTCATAATTTCTCTAAAATGGACCGTATTCGAGATATTTGGGAAAAAGTGCAAATTTCTAATTTTGAAGATAACTCAAAAACGGATAGAAATAAACACATCAAATTTTAAACTTAAGCTTTATTCCTGCCTATGGTGGACTGATTAAATTTTGAGCAGAGTCGGAACATCTGGGGGGTACTTTATAGTGAATCATTTTTATATTTTATGGAATATAACTGTTATTTAGGTTTGGAGAAGAAATTTCTTCAAATAAAAGTTACTTCTAATATTATTCTCTATAATGTTTGCTCTATACAAAATTTTCCTAAAATGGTCCGTATTCGAGAAATTTCACAAAATGTAAAAAATTCAAATTTAAAAAAAAATTGTTCAAATAAAAGTTGTTTGTGATATTATTCTCTATATTTTTCTTCCTATATATAATTTCTCTAAAATGGACCGTATTCGAGATGTTTGGGAAAAAGTGCAAATTTATAATTCTGATAACTCAAAAACGGTTAGAAAGAAAAACACCAAATTTTAAACTTAAGCTTTATTCCGGCCTGTAGTGAACTGATTAGATTTGCAGAGTCGGAACATCTGGAGGGGTACTTTATAGGGGGTCATTTTTATATTTTATGAAATATATCTGTTATTTAGATTTGGAGAAGAAATTTTTTCAAATAAAAGTTACTTCTAATATTATTCTCTATAATGTTTGCTCTATACAAAATTTTCCTAAAATGGTTCGTATTCGAAAAATTTCACAAAATGTAAAAAATTCAAATTTTTAAAAAAATTGTTCAAATAAAAGTTATTTGTGATATTATTCTCTATATTTTTCTTCTTATTTATAATTTCTCTAAAATGGACCTATTCGAGATATTTGGGAAAAAGTGCAAATTTCTAATTTTGAAGATAACTCAAAAACGGATAGAAATAAATACATCAAATTTTAAACTTAAGCTTTATTCCTGCCTATGGTGGACTGATTAAATTTTGAGCAGAGTCGGAACATCTTGGGGGTACTTTATACTGGATAATTTTTATATTTTATGGAATAAAACTGTTATTCAGGTTTGGAGAAGAAATTTTTTCAAATAAAAGTTACTTCTAATATTATTCTCTATAATGTTTGTTCTATACAAAATTTTTCTAAAATGGTCCGTATTCGAGAAATTTCACAAAATGTAAAAAATTCAAATTTTTAAAAAAATTATTGAAATAAAAGTTATTTGTTATATTATTCTCTATATGTTTCTTCTTATTCATAATTTCTCTAAAATGGACCGTATTCGAGATATTTGGGAAAAAGTGCAAATTTCTAATTTTGAAGATAACTCAAAAACGGATAGAAATAAACACATCAAATTTTAAATTTAAGCTTTATTCCTGCCTATAGTGAACTGATTAAATTTTGAGCAGAGTCGGAACATCTGGGGGGTACTTTATAGTGAATCATTTTTATATTTTATGGAATATAACTGTTATTTAGGTTTGGAGAAGAAATTTCTTCAAATAAAAGTTACTTCTAATATTATTCTCTATAATGTTTATTCTATACAAAATTTTCCTAAAATGGTCCGTATTCGAGAAATTTCACAAAATGTAAAAAATTCAAATTTAAAAAAAAATTGTTCAAATAAAAGTTGTTTGTGATATTATTCTCTATATTTTTCTTCCTATATATAATTTCTCTAAAATGGACCGTATTCGAGATGTTTGGGAAAAAGTGCAAATTTATAATTCTGATAACTCAAAAACGGTTAGAAAGAAAAACACCAAATTTTAAACTTAAGCTTTATTCCGGCCTATAGTGAACTGATCAGATTTTGAGCAGAGTTGGAACATCTGGAGGGGTACTTTATAGAGGGTCATTTTTATATTTTATGAAATATATCTGTTATTTAGATTTGGAGAAGAAATTTTTTCAAATAAAAGTTACTTCTAATATTATTCTCTATAATGTTTGTTCTATACAAAATTTTCCTAAAATGGTCCGTATTCGAGAAATTTCACAAAATGTAAAAAATTCAAATTTTTAAAAAAATTGTTCAAATAAAAGTTATTTGTGATATTATTCTCTATATTTTTCTTCTTATTTATAATTTCTCTAAAATGGACCGTATTCGAGATATTTGGGAAAAAGTGCAATTTCTAATTTTGAAGATAACTCAAAAACGGATAGAAATAAACACATCAAATTTTAAATTTAAGCTTTATTCCTGCCTATGGTGAACTGATTAAATTTTGAGCAGAGTCGGAACATCTGGGGGGTACTTTATAGTGAATAATTTTTATATTTTATGGAATATAACTGTTATTTAGGTTTGGAGAAGAAATTTCTTCAAATAAAAGTTACTTCTAATATTATTCTCTATAATGTTTATTCTATACAAAATTTTCCTAAAATGGTCCGTATTCGAGGAATTTCACAAAATGTAAAAAATTCAAATTTAAAAAAAAATTGTTCAAATAAAAGTTGTTTGTGATATTATTCTCTATATTTTTCTTCCTATATATAATTTCTCTAAAATGGAGCGTATTCGAGATATTTGGGAAAAAATGTAAATTTCGAATTTTGAAGAAAACTCAAAAACGGATCAAGAGAAAAACACCAAATTTTAAACTTAAGCTTTATTCCGGCCTATAGTGAACTGATTAGATTATGAGCAGAGTCGGAACATCTGGGGTACTTCATAGGGGGTAATTTTTATATTTTCTGGAAAATCATTTTTGTACTTTATAGAATATATATGTTATTTACGCTTGGAAAAGAAAATTCTTCAAATAAAAGTTGCTTGTTACATTATTCTCTATAATTTTTATCTTATATTGCAGTATTTCCCACGAAATTTCAAATAAGTGTGCTTTTCTTCTATAACTTTTTGTGGTCTTGCACATTAGTAGTTAGACATGTTTAATAAGAAAGAAGAATAGCCTGCCTTTTATTTGTTAATATTCTGTGTAATTTTAGTTGTCAGTTGTCAATGTCAAGCAGAAAAAGTTATTCAAAAAAGAATCGTGGCGTCAGGTCATTTTGAAATTACAAGTTTTAAACAGAAACCAATGTTTTATTTAATATTAGAAGGTACCCACAGGCCATCCCCACAATATATAATTTTCTTAAAATGGTTTGTATTCGAGAAATTAGAAAAAAAGTGTAAACTATATTTTTTTGGGAAATTGTTCAAATAAAAGTTGTTTGTAATGTCATTCTCTATAATTTTTGCCTTATGCATAATTTCTCTAAAATGGACCGTATTCAAGATATTTGGGAAATTTTAAATTTAAGCTTTAAGCTTAGTGAACACCATAAATCTTTGGCATTTTTTTTTAAGAGAAATTAGTAAATATTAATAGTCATTTATTCTGGGAACATGCGACTTTGATTGCAAATACATTATAATACTAAAAAAATGTATTTCTGGTTAGTTATTTTTGGGAAAAAAACAATGATTACTAGTTTTTTTATATATATTTTTGACACCTGAAATTTATATTAGTTTATATTAGTTTACTTACATTAATAAATAAAACCAAATAAATCATAAATGAATATTAAAAATAAATAAATAAATTAAATAAATAAAGTTACTTACAACAGCAACAACTCATGTTGTGATAAAATGTTACTTATTTGCATTAGAGATCTTCGAATGGATAAACTAAAGAAAAGAAAAATAAAAAAATTACTAAACAAAACAAAATAACATTTTAAAAATGTACACTATTTAAAAAATAAAATAAATAAAGATAAAAATGAGATGAATAAGATAAAACTGTCACAATAAAGAATGCAGTTTGATTCTAAACATAAAATGTTGTAAAATCTCCATAATATGAATTAGTAAAGTAAAAACACTCAAAATACTTAATCCAATATACATAAATAATCAATCTGATAGCTGCAAATAAATCCTGGTTATTTATTTTAGTTGACAATGTCCAAGCACATTAAAAATTTGATTTATTACCTGCTCTTTGTAATAGCTCGTTTCAATTCCTTCTGCAAACTTTGTACTTTAGCACTAGCTGCCTCATGTTTTACACATGCAATCCTGTGCTCAGTTTCAGCTACACCCCTATCCCTTTCAGCCTCATTCACTCTTTGAGTAGCATGATTAAGCATTTCTTGCCAAGCAGGATCTAAAAAATGTACCTTATAACCCACTGAAGAACTTTGTTTAAAATAGGTAACCTTAATATACAAACAATATGATGTATACAAAGTATAGGAATATAAAAATAAAAAGAAATAATTTACTAACATTATATCCATAATTACATTTTAAATGCATTGTATTTCATATTTTACAATACAAAAATAGATGGAATGTAAAAGAATGTATAATATATCTGATTGACATTCAAATTGAGTGTAAGATTATCCTATTTAATCATTAATTTAACACCTGAATCCATGGGACTCACATTGAGAATTTAATTGTACCAAATTCACTTCTTTTCATTCCAAACAGAATGAGTATTATAGTACCTTTCTGCAGTAATATCCAGTATCTATAGTGAAAGAGACATTAGCCTTTAATTATTAATAGGGTAAGTCCATGGGACTCATGGTATATGATTTGAATGCATAAACATGATATACATCAATAAAAATGATAAAAAATTAAAGAAGTGACTCATAGTTTGAACAAAAACAATTAAAAGCATGATTGTATAATTTTAAAAATTCCTGGCAACTTCAAACTATGATCTTAAGCATCATGGATGAATCCATATCACATGTAGTAGACTAAATACTTGACAAGCTTCAAGAAACCAAAGAAAATGCTGTAAATTGTGTAATTATTATAAGTAGAGAAGAAACTGCATATCTTTACTGAAGATGTTTAAATCCTATTTGCCTGCAATGTTCAAAAAAAGTTTGTCTATTACAGATTTTTCCATTTTTTCTGTCTTTATTTATAATTTCGAAACATTTAAGTTTGTTTTTTTAGGAAATCTTCATTACAAATCGTTTTCCTATATTATTTAACATGCATAGAAATTATGATCTTTTTTTAAGTAATACTTTATTACCTAATGTAAAAGTTAGTCTCAAAATTGTAAAATGTTAACTCATGCTTTAGTAAAACTATTTATACACTGTTTAAAAATAATTAAATGGATATTTTTTACATATAATTACAATATTATAAAATATAAGCCCAGGGGAGAAGTTTTCACCTATCAAATTAAAGATTAACTTGCTCACCGAGTGTTCTTCCACCAAGTCCTTGCTCAGCCAAATATACCATCTCTCTAGCTGCGCTATGTGCACTATTAGCCTTTTCGAATTTACAAGCTGCAATTTGTGATTGTTTGAAAATTTCATTGGCATAAAACCTTGCCTCATAGTAAGGTCTAGCTCGTTCCACACACATCCCAAGTTTGACTCTAATTGCATCTACTTTAATTGTACTTTCGCAGAGAAGTTGTTTAAACGAATTTCTGCATTCATCTAGCTCTACCTCGAGCTTATTGATTTCGTCTGTAGCATTATTCAGTCTTTCAAGTTCTACTTGAACCCTAGGATCAACTGTGTCATTATATTCGGAACCATTTTCACACATTATAAATACGTTATTTAGAATTGTAGGTATTTAATATGGTAATTTAATACTTTGTTTCATTCTTAATATCAGAGAATAAATAAATTGTATCAAAATAAAATAAATTAAAAATTTAAATGTAACTGAATGACAGGATACAGGATGGTAGAGCTGTCATCTGTCATCAATCAGTTGCCAGCTGACAAGATAAGGTGTGTTCTTTTATTCAACAATTGTTCCATCTGCCGTCATTGAATAATTTCTAGTGGAAAGTATTTGCTATTTGCATTAAAAATAAAAACGAATACCATTTTGAAAATGAAAAACTTGACATTGCTTTAAAATAAAAAGCCCATTATAATTTATGCCGCGTTTGAATATCCACATTTGATGCGTTTTTTACATCTGGAGCGTTTGTTTATTCCACATCTACTACATCTGCGTTTGTTTATCCCAGATGTAGCTACTGTTCAGATTACATTTTTATATCACGATTTGAAATGAGATGTTCGTTCCATGCCAGAAAGTAAGTGTTCTGTGAGACCAAGTTTATCGATTTATCCCAATGACATATATAGTTTATATAGACTGCTAATCCTTATGTAAATAAAACGATGAAAACCGGGTCAAACTGAGATATGTTTTCTCTTTGTCTTAGTATATGCATTGTTTGTGTTTTATCTCAATTGTGAGTGCTCACTGGTAAACAAACCTTCTACAGAACCGGTTTAAAAGAAAGTTTAGTCTAGTTGAGTTAAGATTTGTCATTGGGTGCGTTCACCATACGGCAACAGTTGTGTAGTTGAGTAAGCGATCGTGTTCGGTAGATACGATGACTTTACGCTGAATGTCATCTGCTGCAAATTTCACCCAGCGCGATGAATTTGCGCTGAGCCGGCTCAACATATGCTTAGACATGCGCAGTGAGATGACAGTTCATTGTTGCGTGTGCTTTCTTGATTTTTAAAACGTACATACTTCGATTTTCTCTTACTATACGGAGAATGGTCGCACTGCGCAACTTTTTGAGTGCCTTTTAAAAGGAGATAGAAAACTCCGCCGTTTTGATGTCTTATTACGTGTTGCCTACATCCTGGCGCAATATTTTTAATAGGTGCGTTTTAATCATTCGCTTCTGCTTCGGAATTGTCGGTTTTCTTGTTTTAATCTGACAAGTTAAAACAAATAACAAAAATCAATTGGCAACATCGCTAAAATCACGCACAGGCGCTCTTAGTGTGACTGTCAAATCGAAAAAATTAAAAACAATATCGCTACGTGAGAATTTCGTGAATAAATAAATATTCCTAATTTTTTAGCTCACAATTGTGTGTTAATAATATGTGTTGCTTTAATTAGGTTAGTGCACACTTATAGAAGATTAAAAAGGGTAAAAATATTATGGTTTTACTTAATCTTTATGGAAAAAGTGACAAAATTACTGTCCCTAATATCGACCGTAGCCCATTAAACATATAATAATTAACCAAACATTTTAAATTATGCATACGTATATCCATTGCCTGAAGAAGATAACTCAACACCTGACTCAAACAAATATTTATTCTTTTTCAAAATACCTAACGCAAGCTCATGTCTTGAAGTAAATATTCAGGTATTTATTTTTTTTAATTCAATTCCTATACTCATTTGGGCCAGACCTATTCTGCCTGGTGAGCACTCGGCAAGACAATATGGACGACTGCTATGTGACCCACTTTTCTTCGTCTATGGATAAGCAGTCTATATAAACTATATGTTATTGGGTTCGCTCAGCTGTCTGCATTACATCAGCTGTCAGTGCTGTCACTGGACTTGTCAAAGTAACAAAATAATTATTTTTGTTTGTTAAACTAATAATTGTCCACCAAAGCTTTTCTAAATGATTAAAGCAATTAAAGATTTCATCAGTTATTGGTATTTCCGATACCTACTTGCGACAGATCTATTTATGGTAGAAAAATGGGAAAGAGCTACATTTCGTATCCTTTTTACTATTTTTTTTTAATTGCCAATGCAAATTGTGTGGTTTACCTGCAACCCAAGGATGTCAATTTATGTAAGTAACAACGAATAATTTTTTAGAATTGAATGTTTGATATGATCCAACTTGTTTTATGTTCAAAAATCATAACTATCCAATCTTTTCACATTATAAACATCTTCATTTTCCTGTTGATATACTTCATTGCTGTTCAATTTGTATAGCTAAGCTTTAATGATAGTGTATAGATACCTACCATACTAAGCATGTATAGAAACCTATTGTACTTATATTTATTATATATTTCAGTTTGTTGTTAGGTGATAACCCTTATAGAATATTTAAATTTTTTTGTTTAGGGGGTATGAGGTTTTATAAAAAAGATTTAACATTGTTTTATGAACATTTAAACTCTATAAACGCTCTTGTAGGAAATTATTAAGTAAATTGTTTTTAAATATCACTCTGAAACTGAAATATGGTGCATTTAATCCAAAAGATATTTATAAAAACATGTAATCATGCAACTATGATAGAAAAATTGAGATTTTTTTGTTTACTGTAGTATAAGGAACTCCACCTACGCCCTAAACACATTTTTTTGGCAATTTGAGATATTTAATCAATCATTTGAGATATGCTAGACATTTTTTCCCAAGTTCTGATGAACTTGTAAATTAAGCAACATTTCCCTTAATGTGGCATATACTATGGCTTTGTTAATAAGCATTTTTTTCTTATGCTTCACCTGATGTATAGACTTTGAGTTGCTTAAGGTTATTGCTCCTTATTTTTTGTTTGAAAGATTAGAATATAATGTTATTATTCAATGCAACTTTTTGGCATTTTTATTATAATATCATGTATGTAGGTAAGGTACTGATATATTTTAAATATAATATTCATCTCATTCCTATTATCACTTTTGTTATTTATTATCAGAACTCTGCTTTGGTGATATTTTGTTTACTCTATTTACTTTCTATTAGTTTTCAATTCTGGTCTTACTACTTCAAATATCATCCATACTCTACAGTCTAATTAAATTAAATCATTTCCTACTTTTCTTTATGTAATTTTCTTTCCCTAGTGTTGTAAGTCTAAGTTAATTTCTGATATTTAAATCATCTTGACAATATTTATTATACATTTTTTGTATTATTGGAAAATATCAGGAAAGTGTTTATGCAAATATTGAGTTAAATTTTCTCCTTAACCATTTTTAGATATTATGTTATTCATTGTCCTCTCTATTATCTATTTCTTCAATGCTACAATCATTCTGGGAATAGTTAGAATGATCTCAGGATGGGTATTCCATAAGGATATAATAAAGTTTGATCAGAATATCAATGAACATATTCCAATTTAATTTACTTATATTACATTTAAAAATGTGTAGGGCTTATAAAAATCAATTGGTGCTGTGGATACTAATAATTATTATAAATTAAATTTATAATTACTAGAAGATGTAGTGGGTTAAGATTAAGTTGTGTTACTGGTGAATAAGATCTTTGAATATAATAAACATAAAAAATGAATTGTATGAATTAAATTTACAATAAAATAATTTTTTTAAAACTGAACCTTACTTTTATTTGTAACTTCTTGAAATTTTGCTAAAAAATCCTTATTTACATTAACCAGTTGACAAAATAGGAGTAGGTCAACTTGTTAAATAATTTTGTCAAACTGATGACGTGCAATATGTCACAGATCAAAGACGTCATACAGCGACGTGATAAATCGTCACCAGATAACGTGTTTAGACGTCAAAAAAACACCATAATACTCATTTAAAAATGTTTAATTTATCAAGAATGTTTTATAAAAAAAAGATAGGTATTTCTGAATTGAAACATAGTAACTATACTAACCTGAACTATTACTAAATAAACTTAGAAAGTATTATAAGTATTTAATAGGATGATTGCGACTATTTTCTTCTAGGGGTTGAAAAACACCCTATTTGATCTTGCAAGTCGTTCTCCTAAGGACAGGTTAAAGTATTTGTACCTAACTTATGCTGATGATACCATTGATACAGCAACCTAGTATACGAATTTTGACCTAGATAGCAGGCATTGAATAAGGTGGGCCTTGGTCATAGCATTCACAGTCTAGATAAGTAAAAATCTCTACCAGCTCTGCACTTATTTTGTGACAGCTTGCGTCAGTTTGATAAGTAATAAAAGTACGATTTTAAAAGTACCTATTGATTCCAAGCTATTTTAAACTAATTTATGCATAGATAATGTCCTTTTTTAGTGAAATTGAATCAGGTGAACCAGTAGAAATGTATAAACTTAAAAAAGCCTATTTAGAAGATACATTTGAAAAAAAAGTGTTTTTGAGCTTTGGTGCTTATCGGTCAGACGAAGGAAAACCGTGGGTTCTTCCTGTAGTGAGATCTCTCGAAAAAATACTATCTCATGATGAATCGTTGAATAAAGAGTATTTGCCCACTTTGGGATTGGAAACTTTTAGTACTTCTGCAACCACCATGTTGCTAGGGTTAGATTCCCCAGCCATTATCCAGAAAAGGTATTGTGGTATTCAAAGTATATCTGGAACGGGATCGCTAAGAATTGGGGCTGAATTCCTTGCAAATATGGGAAAGAAAATATTCTACGTTCCTAACCCAACTTGGGAGAATCACAAAAGGTTATTCTTGCAAGCAGGATTTGAAGAATGTCGAGAGTACCGTTACTGGAATCCTACTACGCATCGCTTAGACTTCGAAGGTCTAATAGACGATTTAGACAAAGCACCTCAAGATGCAGTTGTTATTTTACATGTTTGCGCTCATAATCCTACCGGTGCTGATCCTACTCCTGAACAATGGAATAAAATTGCAAACGTAGTACATAAACGCATGTTATTTCCATTTTTTGATTGCGCTTACCAAGGATTCGTAACTGGAAACGTGATAGACGATGCGTATTCAGTAAGACTGTTCGTGTCATTAGGCTTTGAACTCTTCTGCGCGCAAAGTTTTTCAAAAAATTTCGGCCTGTATAATGAACGTATAGGAAATTTGACCATTGTCGTCAACAATCCAGACGTAATACCTGCTATTAAATCTCAAATAACATATATAGTGAATGGAATGTACTTTAATCCTCCGGGACTGTGTGCGAGAATTGTTACTTACGTTCTCAACAATTCTACCATGTACAACCAATGGCAAGATAACGTTAGATCAATGTCTTCTCGACTTCTACTCATGAGGAAGCAATTAAAAGAGATTTTAGACCACTTGGAGACACCTGGGAATTGGAATCATCTCGTTGAACATTCTGGATTTTTTTCGTATACTGGATTAACTCCTATTCAAGTTGAATATATGGTGAATAAATATCATATTTATATGTTAACATCAGGAAGAATGAGTATAACTGGATTAAACTCGAATAACGTGTATTATGTGGCAAAAGCTATTTGTGAGGCTGTTTCATTGTTTCCTCAAATTCTGTGATTTAAAATGTTTTAAATTATTTTTTCCAGTTGTGAAAAAGTACATCATTTTATTAATATGGGAATGTATGTAAAAACAGAGTGGTAAAAAAACCACTATGGCCAAAACCTACCCGTAATTCGTTTGATTTCGGTGACATCGTCAAAATCTGCTTTAATTTTATCCGTAGAAATCATTGAATATAATTTCCAATGAATGATTTATTGTTGTATATAAATAAATATTTTAAAATGCATTTTTACTATTTAGCATACAGTTGCAACTTGCTAAAATTTTAATAAAATATAATTCCTTACAAGTAACACCTTGGACTCGGAAGCTCTCGGGCGCCAGTTTCATTAATGTGATTTGCTCAACAACCTTTTAATTAGGCGTCAAACGGGCTCTGGCAGCTTCTATAGTGAAGATTAAGGAACTATTACAGAAATCTCGTTGATATAAGAGGGTAACTGTAGGTTTCTTTTATTTAGGATCCTATCAAATAATAAAAGGATTTGTTTAAATAAATGTAAATATAAATTCAAGATAAATGGCCAAAAAGTACTCAGTCGCGACGACAGTAAAAAGAAATATGCTAGACGTTTTTATGTAAATATTGCTTAATGCGACAGAGGATGCACAAGATTATCAACTAAGATCTGCGCTTAAGGCGTGGCGTTATTAGCGTTATTGTGACATCGGTTTCTCGACACTGACACTTGTGTAACCTCAATAAAATCGACCTAGGTCTTAAACAATGACATATATAGTTTAATCTATATATGTCATTGGGTCTTAAACCACATACTTTGATTACTATACGGGGCAAGAGAGAGGTCCGACACGCCCAACATAGGGCGCGGCCATTTTGAATCCTATGACACAGTTTAGAGCTAAAGAATCAGATCGCTCACTCTGCGTCGACACTTTTTATCTCAATGTTCCAGTTTATACACTGCGCAACTCAGATAATACAATATATGACAACCGCCTATAATAAAACAGCAGTCTTCTGCGTATCCTGAATTTGTATCCCTGGAGTGGATGTTATTTTGGAACTTTCAACTGGTCCGAGTGAGCTAACTGATTCTTTAGCAATAAACTGTGACTCCAAAAATAATATTCACTGATACTGACAGCAGCAAGCAAAATATCAGGTGCGTTTTAATCATCCGCTTCTGCTTCCGGAATTGTCGGTTCAGTCGTTCTAACCTGTCAGATTAAAACAAGAAAACCGACAATTCCGAAGCAGAAGCGGATGATTAAAACGCACCTATTAAAAATATTGCGCCAAGATGTAGGCAACACGTAATAAGGGTTCAAAATGGCGGAATTTTCTAACTCCTTTTAAAAGGCACTCAGAAAGCTGCGCAATGCGACCATTCTCCGTATAGTAAAAGAAAATCAAAGTATGTGGTCGGACCTCTCTCTTGCCTCGTATAGTAATCAAAGTATGTGTCTTAAACACATACTTTGATTTTCTTTTACTATACGGAGAATGGTCGCACTGCGCAGCTTTTTGAGTGCCTTTTAAAAGGAGATAGAAAACTCCGCCATTTTGAACCCTTATTACGTGTTGCCTACATCTTGGCGCAATATTTTTAATAGGTGCGTTTTAATCATCAGGCGGTTGTCATATATTTTATTATCCTAGTTACACAGTGTATAAACTGAAACATTGAGATCCAAAGTGCCGACGCAGATTCTTTAGCTGTAAACTGTGTCACAGGGTTCAAAATGGCCGCGCCCTATGTTGGGCGTGTCGGACCTCTCTCTTGCCTCGTATAGTAATCAAAGTATGTGATTAGATCTGAATGTAGATGTAATAAACAAACGCTCTAGACTTTATTGGTTACGTCACAATGACAAGTAAGAAGTTTATATTCTTTAAATTTGACTTTAAAGACTGGAAATCAACCTAAATTTATATTTTAAACAAAAATTAAACATACTAATCACTTTTACATTCACGCTAGCATAAATAAAGGATAAATCAATAATCTTGGCTTCACAGAACACCTACTTTCTGGCATGAAACGAACAACTCATTCACATCTCATTTCAAATCGAGATGTAAAAAATGTAATCTGGACAGATACATCTGGGATACAAATTCAGGATACGCAAAAGACTGCTGTTTTATTATAGGCGGTTGTCATATATTGTATTATCTGAGTTGCGCAGTGTATAAACTGAAACATTGAGATCAAAAGTGCCGACGCAGAATGAGCGATCTGATTCTTTAGCTATAAACTGTGGCATAGGAATCAAAATGGCCGCGCTCTATGTTGGGCGTGTCGAACCTCTCTCTTGCCTCGTATAGTAATCAAAGTATGTGGTCTTAAACTAAAAATGACATGAAAGTCAAAACTAAAGATAAGTTTATTTATTTTATATATTTATTCTATTTATTTCAAAGCTAATAAGAAACAAAATTTAAATATTTTTGGATTAAATTAATTCAGATCAACTATCTGCAGTTTGCGTTTGACAGGAGAGTTCTGGAATACCCTGTATAGGTACTAAATTTGAATATGTATTTAATGTCAATCATTTAAAATATGTAACTCCCGGTAAAATTTTGTATTAACTAGCATCATTTTTGTATAATTTGCACATTTTACTCTAATGATCCGTTAATTTAAACGCAATATGTATGTGTGACAATTTCGTTATTTTACCATTCATACTCTTTGATGGTATTGCACTAATTTATGCCATTTGGAGCCGGATTTAAAATGCTAATCCGTCAATTTTTCTCCATTTACTAATGCGCAAATGCTGCTGCGTATTTCGAAATGCAAATAAATTTGCACTTAGATAAAAATATAGAGCGCACCCAACTGCATTCATTATATATAATTCGGTATGAACTGGAATTATTTTTCGACCATCTAGTATCCGACAAAGGCTTTAATGTCAGATTTGAAATGTTACTTTCCACAACAGACCACTGATTGAGGCAGAAAAAAAATTATATAATTCTTGAACAGTTGAAAAAATATATGTTAGAAATATTGGATTTCACAGCAAAGTTTATGATAAGGTTCAAACAAGGGGGGCTATGGGGACTATGGCCCCCCTGAGGTGAAAATTTTTACGATTTATGAGTCGTTTTTCCAAAAAATATACTAAAAAGGGAATGGCTAAAGGCAATGCCTCTCCCTCCCCCCAAATTCGTCTGGGGGTTCAAACCTACATAGTACGATTGTGCGGAACTCTTCATGAGTTAGTCCGACTCACACTTGGCTGGTTTTATTTAAATATAAACATGAATTTAGTCAACGTTCATTGGATTCTTTCAATTTCAATACATCACCCATCCTCCTTTATTTTCTTATTCGTGGCCAAACAATCTTTTTGTTAACAAGTAGACCTATTATTAATACATTAATTCTGCCATACATTCTTATTCACAAAGTCAATAGTAAATAAGACAGCACAGGATAAAAAATTCGTTACTAATATAAAACAAACTGATTCAATAAAATTCAAAAGACCAATTAATGGATCAAACGACTTACCTGAAGGAAGTTCGATCCTAATTATGCGAGCATCCTTGTTAGTGGAAATAAAGATAACCATGTAGTATACCTATGTTACGCCGCTGACCCACATGTTCAGATTTAAAATTTTTATTGTATAGAAATGTGATTCTCGAATATTTTACCACTTTACGTTCGAACTATATGGTTGGTTAATAATAGGTTTGTTTTAACTACGATCAGAAACCAGTCATTGCCAGCAGGATTCTACCTTCCTTTATATACTGCGCCAATAAATGTTTTCGGATCGTTGTTATTAACAAACCTAAAACAGATACATCCATATATAGTATTTTTATTATCTTTTAAATATTATATTGCATGATTATCTCTATTTATTTACCCCTTCCCAAAATTTTGGTAATAATTAATGTAAAGCGATGAACTGCCAACAACACAACGTTTTTAGAAGTTTCACGGCTTATACCTACATTTTAGACCCCATACGTAATTTGATTATAGAGGTCCGGACTAAAATCAGAAATAATTTTGGTTAACTTTATCAAAACCCTCATTAGAAGCCATCCGCCTAATCAAGCAAGCCTTGACAAGATTGAAGTGCTCTATAAATATTAGTATGAATATGGGCCAATGGAAATAGCGTTAGTCGGAAATTGTAGAAAGGAGTTTATTAGGTGAAGGGTCCATTTAACAAGTTAATAATTGAAGGACCTAATTGATTTTTGTAATTGATTAGTGGTTTATGTTATATACATACTACAACAAGATTATAATTTTTTTTAACAACCTAATGGTTGTTTGATTCTATAGTTAGAGGCTGAATAAGAAATAGAAGAATAAAAAAAAAGTTTCAAGGGTAACCGCGGTTCATTCAAATATTTTTTTTTGGCATTCATTACTCTAAAAAACCAATATTTACATTAAAACATTGTATACAGGGTGTTATTGAAATACACGTACATATTAAAATGGGGAATAGTATGTAATGACCAAAAACGATTGGCACCAATTTTAACTTCAAATTCTAAAATTTAAATATTGGGGAAGAGTCCCCTTTTCCGACCTACTAGTTTCCATATTTAAAGAAGTAAAATAAATCGAAATTGAACTTACCCATAGAAATTGCACTGTTGCCGTAGCAAAACCAATTAATTCAAAATAAAGTTTATTACAGTAATTGTTCAAAATGCCGTCCATTATTATTTACACACACTTGCAATCGTCTTTCCAAAGAACTTTGAACATTAGAAATTAGTCTTGGATTTTGTCGTAGTTCCTCGGCTACCGCATTAACTTTATTGGTTAATTGTTCAACACTATAAATAGGTTCATTATAAACCAGTTGTTTCATGTGACCCCACAAAAAGAAATCGCATGGATTTAAGTCCGGAGATCTCGGAGGCCACTTAGTAGGTCCATTTCTGCCTACCCACTTTTGAGGAAATCTAATGTTCAAAAACTGCCGTACGTTTAAATCAAAGTGAGGAGGAGCGCCATCTAGTAGGTACCACATCC